TCACATATCTCTGACCGCAGACTGCGGGGTATCACGAGTAACCACTGCCGGCCGTCGGCGTCGTAATTGCGTCGGTGTAGGAGGCCGTCACGAATGGCGAAATGGCGAGCTTGACGACGCAATGCACGCGTGGATGGCGTTGCGGATGGGTCAGAGAGCATGTCGATGAGCGGGCCGATCCAATTATCCTTTCGCTGTTCGGTAGCGATGATGTCAACATCAATGGCAGAAACTGCAGCCGAGGATACTGAGCAGAGCACATCACCTTCAGGCAGAGGGGAGCGCGAGAGGGCGTCGGCGTCAGCATGCTGGCGTCCGTTGCGGTACAGCACGCGGATATCGTAGTCTTGTAAGCGAAGAGCCCAACGGGCGAGACGGCCTGAGGGATCCTTCAATGATGAAAGCCAGCATAGTGCATGATGGTCGGTGACGACATCGAATGGGCGACCATACAAATAAGGTCGAAACTTTGTAAGAGCCCAGACGATCGCCAGGCACTCTTTCTCCGTGACGGTGTAGTTTTTCTCGGCTCTCGTGAGCGTACGGCTTGCATATGCTACGACATATTCAGGGAATCCGGGTTTTCGCTGCGCCAGGACAGCGCCGAGGCCTACTCCGCTGGCGTCCGTGTGCACCTCCGTTGGGGCTGTAGGGTCGTAGTGGCGTAGAATGGGAGGCGACGTCAACAAATGGCGGAGCTTCGCGAACGCGTCGTCGCACTCAGATGACCACGAATTGAAGGGCCCGTTGCTTCCAAGGAGCTTCGTCAGCGGTGATATGATCGTGGCGAAATTTCGTATGAAGCGTCGGAAGTATGAGCACAGGCCCACGAAACTACGCAGTTCTTTGACAGATGCAGGTTTGGGGAATTCGGCCACGGCCTGAAGCTTGGCAGGATCAGGAAGAATGCCGTCTTTGGACACGACGTACCCCAGTATGGTGAGTTGCCGTGCTGCAAAGCGGCACTTTTTCAGATTTAGTTGTAAGCCGGCATCGCTCACACGTGCGAAAACTTCTTTCAGACGTTGGAGATGCGTGGAGAAATCCGGAGCAAAGACAATGACATCGTCGAGGTAACACAAGCACGTGTACCATTTCAAGTTGCGCAGAATGGTGTCCATCATGCGCTCAAAGGTCGCAGGTGCATTACATAGACCAAACGGCATGACGTTAAACTCGTACAAGCCGTCTGGCGTGACGAAGGCGGTCTTTGGTCGAGCGTCGTCAGCCATGGGTACTTGCCAGTACCCCGAGCGCAGATCGAGAGAAGAAAAAAAATCGGCTCCATGAAGGCTGTCAATCGCGTCATCGATGCGTGGCAGTGGATAAACATCCTTGCGAGTGATCTTATTGAGCCGTCTGTAGTCTACACAGAACCGCACAGAACCGTCTTTCTTCGCAACAAGAACAACAGGAGACGCCCATGGACTGTCGGAGGGCCGAATAACGTCGCGTCGGAGCATATCGTCAACCTGATCATTAATTACTCGACGTTCAGCAGGCGACACGCGATATGGACGTTGCCGTAAAGGTGGATGGTCACCAGTGTCGATGCGATGCGTAACAACGGACGTGCGACCGAGAGAACTTCGCCCGACATCGAAAGAAGAACGATATTCTTGTAACAGGTCCAGAAGTTGGGAACGCTGTACGGCCGTAAGGTTGTCAGCGATGGAGGGGCCAAATACATCAGCAGACGACGAATCAGAAGTGGAAACAGCATTGATGGTACACGACCTGGGAGCGCGCGTGTCATCGGGTACGTCCAGGACTTGTGCGTCGTCGACTGGTTCCACTCTGCCGAGACATTCCCCTCGAAGCAAGGTAACAGCGTACGGGAACGGGTTGGTTACAAAAATAGCAGTGTTGCCCTGGTTGACCTGCACGGTCGCGAAAGGTACTAGCAACCCTTTCCTGCTGCAAGCGCGGTCAGATGGCGAAACAAGTCCAATGGTGTCGGAGAGACCAGCGCAGTAGACAGACACAGCCGTCGTCGAGTTTGGAGGCACTGTTGTATCGTCTCTCGTTAGAATCTTGCTCAGTGTCGGGGGACTGTCTTCTGGCGTCAAATGCGAGAAGGGTGAGAGCTCAATTTCGGCAGCGGCACAATGGATGACGGCGTCATGGCGGGAGAGAAAGTCCCATCCCAGGATGACGTCATGAGAGCATGCCTGAATGACGATGAACTGGGCGACATACAGAACGTCCTGGATGACAACGCGAGCTGTGCACCCTGCTGTAGGATGAATCCGGTGCAAACTCGCAGTACGAAGGGATAACCCAGAAAGTGGCGTCGTCACTTTTCGAAGTAAGCGGCAGAGTTTTTCGTCCATAACTGATACGGCAGCTCCAGTGTCAATAAGAGCCGATGCACAAACACCGTCCACAAGCACGTCAATGACATTCGAGGGGCTGCTCTGAGGGCTTTCACATTGCGATAGCGTCGCAGTCCTTGCCTCAGGGACTGCGACGACTAGTTTTCCCGCTCATGAGATGCCGCACTTGGCCGCATGGGAGACAGGGAACGGCGTCGTGGAGACGGTGATCTTCGAGACGGACCTGGGCGAGATCGAGGGGGCATAGACGGCGGTTCTTCGCGATAAGGACGGCTGAGTTGGCCAGCAACAGGTGAAGAAATTGGAGCCGGCTGTACGCGATGGCAATAACGGGCCACGTGACCGGCGTAACCGCAGGCAAAGCAGATGGGCCGGTTGTCGGGTGTGCGCCATCTGTTCACCGGGGTAGGTCTCACCCATGTCGCAAGGGCTGATGGACGGAACGGTGGCTACATGGTGGACTGAAGCTGATGCTGAGGGGTTACGTCACCATACGTAGCGGGCATACCCGCTGCAACGGACGGAGGTCGTGCAGCAGCTTCAGCGTAGGTCAGAGGGGCGGGTGCTTGAACGACTTGGGGTGGCCTGGCGACCACTTGCGCGTAACTCAGGGACGCAGGAGCCGGAGGCTGTTGGGGGTGGTAAGCAGGCATTACCTCCGCTATTTCCTGCTCAATCGCTCGGCGGATGGGAGGGAGAAGGGTAGTTGCCGATTGTTGAACAGCAGGTTGGTGGGAAAAGGGCAGGAGGGAGAACTGACGCCCGATTTCCTCACGGATAAAGGACTTCAGTTCTGCCATCAACGCCACTTGGTCACAACTGGCCTCCAAGCCAGCAAGCGTTGCAGCTCGTGGTGGGGAGCGTCGGGTCATCGAACGCTGCCGGCGGAGCTCCTCGTAGCTCTGGCACAGTGTGATGACCTCAGCCACCGTGCCGGGGTTTTTGGCGAGCAGCATCGTGAAGGCATCATCGTCGATGCCTTTCATGATGTTTCGGATCTTGTCAGACTCGGACATGGTGTGGTTAGATTTGTTGCATAGGTCCAGGACATCTTCAATATAGCTGGTGAATGACTCACCAGCCTCCTGAGCACGTTCACGCAAGCGCTGCTCGGCTTGCAGCTTGCGAACAGCAGGGCGGCCGAAGACGTTGACGATTGCGGTCTTGAAATCGGACCAGGTGGCAAAATCGGACGCGTGGTTGTTGTACCACAAACTGGCGACACCGGCAAGGTAAAACACCAAGTTTGTCAGCTTGCCGTCCTCGTCCCATTTGTTGGGGACGCTCACGCGGTCGTAAATGGCGAGCCAGTCCTCCACGTCAGTGCCATCAGCGCCAGTGAAGATGGGTGGATCGCGGATTCTGGGGACACCGGGACAAGGGGGTGGCATTGGAGGAGGCGTTTGCTGAGAAGCGTCTTGGTACATAGTAGATGGCAGGGTACGTGATCGTAGCTCCAAAGGCATAGACAGGGATCGCAGCACTCTCCACCAAATTGTTAAGGCGTTTATTAGCCGGCAACGAGCGAGAATATGCAATGGCGACAGTCACAGCAAAGCACGGGCTCTCAGCGCGAGCGGCGTCCTTGTTGGGTAGCCCCACTAGAAGGTACGCAAGAGTTCGACCCATTTCATAGTTCGGAGGCTTCGCTACAATATATATATATATATATATATATATATATATATATATATATATATATAGTTTCGTAGGTATTGATGGACTACCGCAGGTTGCAAATAGGAGGAGTTACTTGGATCCATCGAGAAATGAAGAGAAGTCTTACTCTATGCTCCGAAGTGCAATTTAAACGAACGTAACCTAAAAAAACGTTTTTCGAAATTTTTCACGGAAACTCCATTTCGCCCTATACTACCTTACTTCAATTGAAGGAAACATGCTGGATAGCTCATTCGAGTTGTATGAAAGTATTCCGTTAGACAATTCGACACCTCTGGTGTTATTATGATCACTTCAATAGTGCAATGATGTTTTTGTTGAACATCTTTATCACAGCCTTCACCATCGGCAGCGCCAACGGCACGCGACTGAAGCTTATTTGGGAGGCAATGACAGCTACAGAATACAAGCAGGCGGTGATTTTTATGAACGCCGAACGGAACCGCATATGTCCGTAGTGGATATTTCATGTAGAAGTGGTGTTGCGCTTGGCAATGCCGGCCATTTTTTGTCCGTCAGGATGTTGAACAGCAGAAGGTGTATGGGAGTTTGCGCAACTCAGCTCCTGACCGCTGCACTCTTAAGCAAACAAGTGTGGCAAAATATTGCGTAATATTCATCATGAATAAGCGTAAAGTTCTTATGCAAATAGCTTAGAAAACAAACACACATAAATGCAATGTATCTGAAAAGCGGATGGTTTCTTCGGGTTGCGATGACACAATAAAACATTGATGTTTCAGTATAGTGAACTTTCACTTTATAACTTTGTTTTGGAGGTGCCTTGAAGTTTGTTGAAGTGAAGTTTCAATTCATAAACTATAGTGCACAATAGAACAAACGTATCTTGCCGGACATGGGTTTAGTCCTTGCGTTGCCCTGTGTGATACTGCGTACCCACACTACGACGGCTTTCTTGTATACAATTCAAAAGTAACATTTCATGCGGATGTACGAAAATGTAATATAGCATGTCATACTCACATGATATAGTTAAATTCATTGTCATATAGCACATGGTAGCTTGTATCTGAAGGAGTATTTTCCTGAAAGTGAGTCATATCAGCACTTTATCATGCAATTCCATGTATCAATTCAATACCTTACTGAGTGTAGGTAACCAAAACAAGTAGTACCTGGATATGTGTGTGCCCGTAAACCTTTACCACAAATACCAACCAAACGAAAAGATATCTTGAAGCTCTTTTGGGCCTTTAGCAACCTATATTGCAAACTACGAGATATCAAACAGTATTTGATTTGTGTAGGAATACTGCACAACATTAGGTTTGTTTTAAATGTACGCAAGCTGTACTAAAAAGGTGAAACACCGATTGCCAACTTCTCCATCAATAGTTTTAGAAAATAGCGGTGAAAGAAAGGTCACCAGTGCCACGTTCCTATATAAGCCAGGCTAGCAAAATCTAGCTGTGATCTGTTGTTGCAAGAGCAGTAAAAGAAGAAAGCTGACGAGAAAACATGTTAGGTTTGCCTGGTACTCATGCAGCTATTTTGCCATGTACAACTACACAGTAGTACTCGCCACAGTAATGGCAAGTACTACAGTGAACATAGTAGTACACAGCAGTACTCAGTTTATCCATGGATGGTGTTTCCCACTCAAACTATGTGGCTGGTTCAAAGTCCTGTTTCTTTTTGCAATATTTTTGCTTCAATTTGATCACAAGCGCCTCATGTGCTTTGCTAGGACTCTACAGTTAGGTCATTTCGGTCACTATGCGCCTACTTTCTACCGCAATACTTTGTCTCCCAATACTTTTTTCTCGCTAAACGACAAAACTGAGAGCAGCGCCGCACCATCGTGAAGAGCGCAGCAATATTCCTAACAAAGCTGGAAGAGGGGAGTTTCAAGAATTCATTGCAAGCTGCTGGAGCTACTATTTCAAGTGTGCTTGCATGTTACGACTGTTCGAAAAAATAATTTGGTGGCTGATGACGATGAAAAATTACAGTGACCGTTTTGTATTGGGTAGGAAGCATTCAATGACCGACTCGTCAGGGGGAACGATTCGAGCTTACAACCCAGACGGTTTCTTTTCTAAAGACAATAGTCTTTCTTGGGGACATTCGGCGCAAAAAATTGTGTCTGTCTCTCTTTCTGTACACTTGTCTGCTTGCCCATCCCTAATGGCACGCTAAAAGGCAACGGAGGGACCAGCCGAAACCCCAGATGGTCAACCCCGTACGCAGCGCCAACAAATATTGCTAGTTTCAGTGCTCATACTTGTGTGATTTTCAATTGAAAAACAATTATTGTGCAAAGCCAAGGCACCATAACAACACGTCATTGTTTTGTGTGTAAATCGTTTATTGAACAAGGCATACATCAGCAATTCTAAGGACCGTAGCGTTTATCACACTTCGCTGACCCTGCAACACTTGAAGGAAAGGCAAGTGTTTTCGACGCTTTGCTAAGACGACACGGTGGTGGCACCTACCCGTCGCCTTGCGTTCAACGCCTAATCACCTTCGAGACAGGCATGCACGCCGCACGTGGGCTTCGTTTTTCAACATAACTGCCAGATGGCTCTCATATCTCACGTGTGACGTGACTTGAAGCGCTAGTTCGTCTCCGCTGCACGCTCGAGGCACTCTAACGCAGTGCCTCCAGAATACCATTTACCGATTTTCTTGCGCAGAACATCAAATAAACATTTTAGTCACTCTCTCTAGACGCAAGACGATCGTCTTTAGACGACATTTGCAGTGTACCATGCAGATAATGGGCCAATTTTTCCCCTCCTTCGCGCGATGTTTTTCGACGCCTGCTACATGCCATCAAGTACGCAGCTCTTCTGAGGGCTACCCAGAGCTTGGTCCTGCCTGTACTTTGGTACCCTGCTCAGGCCAATCAAAATCTGAATATGGACGTCCATACAGAGCAGAAAAAACTTCAAGATGCTTCGCCAACGCTTCATGTCAAGTGGTCATTCTTCGACCGCAACTCGGCAAAGCTTGCCTTTGGACGCTTGCGAGGAAAGTGCTCCATCACGGCTGCACCAACTCAGCTTAAAAACATAGACCCGTATTCACAAACGCTCCTGGACTTGAAATTTGGCCTAAAGGGATACTCGAGATTTTTCGCGTTGCAGAAATTGCTACGCAAAACAGTACTCAAGGATTCTTTGAGGTCGAGTTTCGAGTCGAGGCGCATTTCTGAATACAATTCGTAGAGACGGAAGAATTCTCCGCCTCCAGTACCTCTTGCGAGCACAGAACATCATCGTGGTCGTCGTCACACACTTCGAATAAGGCGTCGGAGGAAACTGTCGCTCCCAACTCTCGCTTCGCCACCCCTTCTCGTCTCTTTCCACAACCGGACGCCGATACACCCTCCTACCCCGTATCACGGCGCACGGCCCCTCCTGTAGTAGAGGGACAGCGTGCAGGCACCAATTTTTGCCGCCCATTGGGAAAGAACGTCAACTTTTTTGCTGCAACGCGCGATGCCATCGGGGTTTTTCCATCCGGTTTCCCGGCCACTAGTTGTGTGCGCGTCAATTTTGACGCAGCGTCGTTGAATTGGACATCCTACCTTTCGCGGATCTTGCAGCTCTTCTTTAAGTGGCCGGTTCTGCGAGATATACGTGAGGGACATGCTTATCGTGGAGAAAATTTGCGTAGGCACCACCTACGGCGTCAACGAGAACCTGATTACATCGCGGCCAACCTTGTTTCCACCGTCCCGGTCGTCTCCTGTGTTCACCGAGGCAGGTGCGTCACGCTCACAATTCAGGGCACCACTGTTCTGCTGGAGCTGTTCCTGTTTAACCTCCAAAGGCCTGTCCGCCGTCGTCAGCCGCGGCTCCTTCAGGGTGCCCGCTCGCGTATTTGGAATTGCTGGCCCCGCATCACACGAAAGAGGGAAAAAAAGAGTGCGAAGAGGACGCTAGCGCGAGCATCAGGACTGCTCACGTGGTATTGGTTCCTCTCTGTAGGGGACGTGCACGCCTATAGGTGACGTGCTGGTGACGCACGCACACGCCCGCGATGGAATGTGTGGAGTTTTTCAGGCTGTTCCATTGTAGGGAAGCACCTACAACCTGCCGCCACACTCTTTCTCTACCTTTCCCTTTTGCGGCAGCTTGGGTAGTTGGTATGGCATGACGATAGTTATAGCGCGAGAACAAAACGATGACATAGAGACAAGAAGGAGGCGTCTCCTTCTTGTTTCTGTGTCGTCGTTTTGTTCTCACACTATAACTATCGTCTTTCCTTCTGCCTTTCTGCATCCCTCTTTCCCTCTCCCTGTAAGAGCTGAGCTGAATCATGCTACCCCCAAGAGTTGTAGAAGATTGACTTTTTTGTTTTGTTTAATTCAATAAACCACTACATCATACTCACCACTGCTGGCATGGTCGACGCTCATGTGCGAATTAAAGTTCAAAATTACCATCTAACGTTCAATCACATGCATCAAACTTCTGTCACACACCATACAAGTTCCAACTGCCCTTGCCTAAACGCGATTCCGACTGTAATGGCAGACACCCAGACGCCCACAACTGAATTAGACGCCAACACATCAAACGTGAAGCGTGTTTCAGTCAACGACGCAGTTCCGAATGACATGGAAGCCTCGTGCACATTTACGTGCGAAATAGACGCCAGTTCGACCGGCCCATCTGACGTGAAGTGCCTCCTCGTCGACCTCTGCATGAACACATGCGCACGAGTGCCTCGCCAGCTACAGCAAGGCAGCTAATACGACGATTCAGGTCGTAGTATTGGTATTGCTACTGTCTGCGCTGAAGCCGTTGCAGAGGCACTTCCCATTAACAGTCGGAACCTCTTCGCTCATTGAAACCATCACCGTGCTATCGCCATCTTATTGAAGTTCACTCGCTCACGCCCTCGCCGCACGGTAGCGATCCATCCAAGACACCGGAGGGGCGAGGGTGCTTCGGCACGATGGAACAGCCGTAAACATTTCTCTGTTTCCGTGACTCCGCGACGACGACAGTGACTGCCGGCATGTCTTCGGGAGATCGGCGGCTGAGCGAAAATTCGCCCCATGTCTTTGCTTGAAATGACCATGAAGCAGGCAATCTTGGGGAGTTAACAATGCCCTCTCCGAGGCTTACGCGGCGTCTGAATAGGCAGTTCGAGCACCCAACTGAAGTCTTTTCTTCGGTATACCTTATTTTGTAACCCAGACCCGTCCCTCGTTACCACGAATTATGGCGGGGGCTGCGCCGCTTAGCCGGAGAGGGTCTGTGGCAGAGCGGGGAGCATGGCTAATAATGAGGTGCAGGTGCGCAAGTTTAGTCGGTGTCGCTGCGTTACCAGCGCGCACGTCACCAGCACGTCACCTCCAAAGGCGAACCAATAGCGCGCGAGCCATCCCGAGGCCAGAACTGCCATCCTCCTCGCACTCTTTCTTTTCCCACTTCTTTCCATGTTGGGCCAGCAATTCCAAATACGCTGCCCGCTAAACACCCCCTAGCCTACAGAAAGCCTTCCCATGACCTCTCCTCAACAGGCCGACATCATCACAGTGAGATAGGCGGCGAATTCAGAGGAGGTTCGGAGAGGGCGAGAGAGCCGACTTAAATGACGAAACAGGGAGGAAGGATACTCCGTGCGATAAAAGAACAACATGGCTTGTCACAGCTTACAGCTGCAAACTAATGTGCAGCCAATCGCATGCTGCGGCATTTTTTTTGGACAAGTTGACAAAGATTTCTTCCCGTAGTCTCTTCCTTCGCTAAACAATTTTTTTTCTTGCTACATGACTTCAACACTACCGTTGAGCATGATATATTTTACAACAGGCACTTCATTTCTAAAGTTTTGTTTGTAGCAGAAAGTGTATTGTGCTTTGGCAACATTGTGCTAAATCTACAGTGTTTGGGTCGTTTGGGTAAAGCGTACTAGAAAGGTATAATTTGGTGGTAGTCGCAAGCAAACGACCTGTCTCTGTCACGCAACTCAGTATTGCTGTCACGGCACGTATCAACAACCCAAGGACTATGCCTGGCTGTTGTTGTGCGCCAAATTGCAATTCAA